TGACCATCCTGCAACGCTCCGATAAAGGAAAACTAGATTCCGTGTTTTTGGTCGACCTTGAGGAATAGTTATAATTCCCTCCCGCTTTCTGCTACAGACATTCCCTGACATCAGTGCCCTTCCGGAGACGTCGGACTGGTCTCAGGTCACCGTGCAGACAGACCTGTTTCTGGGCACTGTCAGGAGAGCGGTGTCTGGTCTGATGGAGAAAGTCCAGAAGACGCTTGATGACATCTACGCAAGAGGTTGGTATTGCAAGTGAAACATGTTTCCCCTGTATGATCAAGGGCTGCGCTTGTACCTCCATTTCAAAGAGTCTTGTACGTGACAGTAGAGTCAACTTGGGGGCATCAGCGTGGAGCTGTGATCAGAACCCTGCTGTCACATGTATACATCGATCCCATAGTAACAGGTAAATAGATCAATAAAAATGGTCATGTTTGGACATTTATGGGTTATGAACTCCTATGTAAATGAAACAGTGTGGCTGATCCATCGTAAATATGTGGAGATCTATTGCACTTTTACCACAGTGCAGTCCTGTAGGGCTTTTTCTCAAAGGTGAGTCACTTACCTCCCAGGCCTCTGGTAGGCGTGTTCACACAGGCAGCAGGCTGGAGCTGTGGTCAGGGCTCTGCTCTCACCTGGAGGGCTGTGGGTTCAGGCCTCAGGTGAAACAGTGCAGTTGTACCCTTGAGCAAGGTTCTCTCTCCGTCTCCTTTAGTCAAAGGCCCAGCTGTGGACGTGGGTGCAAACTGTAAGTTATTTTGGATAAAAGTGTTACCCAGATAAATTAGTAATTACTTAATGTTCTGAGAGGTTTGTAAGTAGATTGTGTGCGTAATTGAACTGAGTCTTTTTTTGTATACTAGATCAGGAATGTATGACTCCAGTCCTGGAATATCAGAAGGTTTCTTTCTTCTTTCTTTGCTCACTTGGACAAATTTAAACCTTTCCTTCCTGAACATGCAATAATGTGAATACGGTTTTGATTGTTGTGTTGTGTTTTAATAGTTTTAATAAACTTTGCAGTTTGCTTTGCAAAAAAAACAAAATATGTTTCACATGTTCTGAAAGTGAAATTAACATTTCTACCCTAATTCCATTTTTCAGAAGTGGAGAAGATACAGATCTATGCAGGTAAGATCTTGTCTCTCTTTCTCTTGTTTTAATTTGTCTTAATGCTCTGTGATGCAATACTGCCCCCCATTCATTAGTACTGACCTGCATACACCCCCAGAACAAATGGGATGTGAGTTCAAGGGGGTGAAGACTCTGTAGGCCAGAAGAGCCCTTGATCCCGGAGAATGGTTGCGTCTGCAACGTTTTATTCCAACTTGATTGGTAATGACTTAAATCAGCTTATTGGGACCAATTTATCAGCTTTACCCAATTATTTAGGAATACTTTAGAGACCTGCAGAACTTACAGACACCTCTGCCAAACTTGGGTCCAATGAAGCCGATTAATGCGCTGATTTAAATCGGGAACAGGACTGAATGACCAAGACTGCACATCACTGGCCTATGGGGTCTTGGACCCCTCAACTTCCTCAGTAAATGGATCACCCCATAATTTTTTTTTGGGGGGCAGGGTTCTGTGCAGGACCTACGCAGGTGCAATAGTGGACTCATGCCAGGAGAGCGGATTTCCGGGCTACGTCTCTGAGGAACCCCCACCGATTGTAGGAATTTCTAACGATTCCCCTTCCTCGCCTTCCCGCCCCACAGCCGACGTGACAGTGGACGCCAAGACGGCGCATCCCGGCCTTGTGCTGTCCGCCGACGGCAAGCGGATCTCCCACGGGGACAAGCCCAAGCCGCTGCTGCAGAACTCGGAGCGGTTCGACCGCGCGGTCGCCGCCCTGGGCCGCGAGGGCTTCGCCTCCGGGAAGCACTACTGGGAGGTGGACGTGGGGGCCAAGACGGACTGGGACCTGGGGGTGGCCGGGGAGTCGGCCAAAAGGAAGGGGGAGGTCAGGGTGGCGCCCGGCGACGGGTACTGGCACGTGGCCTACTTCGACGACGTGGCGTGCGTGGCGGTGACCGAGCCGCTGACCTTCCTCTCGCTGAGGGACAAGCCGCGCCGGGTGGGCGTCTACCTGGACTACGAGGAGGGGGAGCTGTCCTTTTACAACGCCGAGGACCGGGCGCACATTTTCACCTTCAAGGACGATTTCGCCGAGAAACTCTACCCGCTGTTCAGCCCCGGCCTCAATCTGGGCGGGCAGAACGCCGCCCCCATGATCATCTGCTCTACGGACTAGGCGTCCCCGGGTGGGGAACAATCTCTCCCGTGACCTTCGGGGGGCGCCAGTACGGAAAGCATCTGCCGTTGTTCTGAAGGGAGGGCATTCCTTCCAGGTTAAGGACCAAAACCGCCGGCCAGATTCTCAGGTCATTCTGTTGAAGTGCAAGAGCTGGCGGCGCCTCGCTTATTCCAAATAATTATTCCATTCTGCTTGTTCCTCCGAGGATTTGTTTAGACAGCAGGGTGGGATGGGGTTGGTGGTGGAACAAAATGATTTGCTTCTGGCTCTCTTTTACATTCGCTATCGGGGGGAAAACGGGGAAATAAATGTTTCCTCTGGACCGAATGGATCCGACGGTGCCACTGCTGCTTCGACTTGACTGTATGTAGCAAGGAGAACTACTCGTTCTTACTAATGGAATCATCACCAATGTTATCATAGGGATTCGGGAGGAAGGTTAGATCTTAACCTTGCCCACTTCTGCTCGCCTTCGTCTCGTACCCAGAACTCCCTTTTGTGTTCCTCTCTCACATCTCCCCTGCCCTCCCCTCTGTACCTTTGGGCCTCAGATTGGCTGCTGTTCTCTCAGCTAGGTGAGTCTCACCAAATCCTTTATACATCTTCCTCTTTCTCCCGCATTCGTTAGGAGCCAGCCAAACTACCGAATATTGTTATAAGTTGTTATAACAACAGCGTGTGTCCAATACTATGATTTATTGTTTTATTCATGTAATAGTCCTTCATTAATACAGTCTGTTGATCAGTTATTAATGAGTGGTCAATCGTGAGTTGTGGTAACAGCCTATGACTTGCCGTGTGTGTGCATGCGTGCGTGCGTGTAAAAGCTCCACTGACACTTGGCTCGTTACTGAACCGCAGTGGGCTCTGCCCAGGCCTCTGAGCCAGCAACTTGAGACCATTGAGAGGTTTTATCAATGGGAAAGAGAGTGTTTCAGCCAGCAGCCTAATCAACCTGCAACTCCCAACTGGCAGCCCACTGAAGCTCAGCAGGTGTGAGCCTGGTCAGTACCTGGATAAAGAGACCTCCTGGG